AGTCAGGACAGGAACTCAAACAGGGCAGGAACCTGGAGGCAGGAGCTGATGAGAGGCCACGGAGGGTGCTGCTGGCTCACTTGCTCCCATGGCTTATTCAGCCTGCTTTCTTATAGGACCCAGGACTTCCAGCCCAGGGATGGCACCACCCACAATGGGCTGGGCTCTCCCCCATCAATCTCTAAGAAAACATCCTGCAGGCTTGCCTACAGACTGATCTGACTGTGGCATTCTCTCCCTTGGGGCTCCCTCCTCTCCAGTGACTCCAGCTTGTGTCAAGCGGACACACAACTGGCCAGAACATGAGCCACATTCCACCCTGAAGGTGGCAAACAGTGGCATGAAGGTGAGGCTGGCTGGTTACATGGCATCTATAGTCACAGTGGGAGATAAAGAGTTAATTCCTCCTCCTTGTGCTGTGTATCTTAAGCTCAGTGAGATTTTGAGTTGTTTTAGAGTTGGTTCTGTTCGATCATCATGAGAATAGTTGGTGAGATTTTTTTTAAAACACCTGTTAAAAGTCATTAAAGAGCTGGGGGGGGGGAGCTTTGGGAGGGCTGTGTGTATGTCCGTATGTCCCTGTGTCCCTGTGCATGTTGGCACCAGAGGACAGTATCTCTGGTGTCATTACTCAGGTGACATTCACTCTGCTTTGAGGAAGGGTCTGTTTTCTCACTGGCCTGGAGCTCATCAACTATGCTGGGCTAGCCAGCCTGGCAAGCTTCAGAGATCTGCCTATTTCAGCCTCCTAAGTACAGCCACCAGACCAAACTTGTGGTGGTTAGAATGAGAACTGTTCCCCCATAGGCTGTCGTGTTTGAACACTTGGTTCTCAGTGGTTTGAGGGCTTCATTGGGGGCAAGCTTTGGGACACATCCTCGTCCTAGGTATTGTACAAGCTCTCCGCTCCATGCCTGCTGTTAAAGATGGGCTAGCTCAACTTCCTGCTCTGGCTGCCTGCTGCCCCCGACAATATGGATCCCTAACCTGCTGCAACTACAGTCCAAACTCTACTATAAGCTGCTTTGGTCGTAGTATTTTATCACGGCAACAGAAAAAGCAACTAGTACACAGTTTTTTACAAGGGTCTGGAGATCAAACTCAGGCAAGCGCTTTACTGACTGAGCTGTCTCCTCAACTCTCCTTACAGGACTCTGAAAAGCTCAACATGTAAACTAAAATAAACAGTAGCTAGATTTTACTAAAGTCAGTGTACTCCTGTGTCTTACTCAGCCACTAAAAGTGAATTCAATCTGCCATTTGTGGTAACATCAGTGAAATAGGTTTGTCACAGAAAAGCAAAGATTCCCAGTTTCCCAGTTACTGTAGAAACTTAAAACACTGGTCTTTGTTAACTACGAGCTACAAATCTCTCATACACTTCAGCCACTCTGCTAACTTCCATCTTCTTCTGTGAGTTGACGTGGTCTGTGGCTATAGCTATTGAATCGTGCTGCCAATAGTCAGATGTCAGTCTGTGTAAGACTATATACAATTTAAGCGTGTACAACTGCCCTTTTCAGCTGTAAGGCGAAAGAGAAAGCAGAAGAAAAAGACAGCAGGTTAATCAAGCTGTCAAAAGCACCCCTCTTCCTTCCTTAGTCCTCTCAACTCTCATTCTGAACACTTCAATTTCTAATGTCAACTCAATCTCAATGGCTTACCCAGTACAATCTGTCCTGGTTATCAAGCCCAATGCTAAGCTATAATAAATTGGGGTAAGATAAAGAAAAGCCTGCTGTCCGAGGGCTCATGGAACCATCTTCTTAAGCATGTGTCCAGTTCACAAGAAAAGTACAAATGTAGCACAAACATCAAAATTAATTTAAAAAAAAGTAGAAACTTTACATTTTCAATTATTATATAAATGAGGGAAGCTTGGAGCGGAAGTAGGTTTCCAACATCACAGAAGCTGGGGCAGGGGGAGGCATTACAGCACTTCAGCAAAGGAGAAACCAAAAGCTGCAGAGTTTTCCAAAACCCTGAAATCTGACCTTAGTAGAGACAGTAGCAAAATTTGTTGACCTGCATTATACAGGCCAAGAGTTTAATTTTAAAATGTATCTTCCCAAAGAATATTCTTATAACTTTGACATTACCTTAGCACACACCTGTGTCTACTAGTCTCTGCTTCCACCCCAGTACCCAACTCTGTAGCTCTTTGCTAATCAATATAATTTATGCACAGATTTTTTTCCCCATACATACACTGGTATACATCCTTCTAAATGTTCTGGTCTGTTTTGCTGGGAGCTGTTGCTTTTTGAGTCCTATCACTGAACTCAATGTCTCTCTACCACTGAGCTACATCCCAGCCTCCTCTAACTTTTGGGGAACATACTGTATAAAATACAGGGGCACCATACGCTCCGCCCTTACACTCTTTATAGCTTCCTTCAACCCCCACTGGCTTGCAAAGTAGATACCTACTGAATATTTTATTTTAAAAACCTCTGGTGACATAAGAATTACATATTACACCCATATTAACTATCTCGTAAAAGCTAAATTAAAAGCAATTTTTCAGCATTACGACCTACATAGGAGGTCGACGGAGCAGTAATTAAGAACAGGCAATCCTTCAAGCATGAACTGGTGAATTGTCATGACTAGCAGCAAACAGCACGCTCTCTGGCATCACAACCTATACCACAAGAAGCAATGGGGTTAGTGATGGTTGCAAGCCTTGTTACTGAAGCCACCTGACTAACCAACCTGTCGCTTAATCAGCTATACGATCCCGGCTAAGCCACACAACCACCCATGTCTCAATTTTCTCAACTACAAAAGGCAAAGGGGTATAAATAACCTATCTCTTCGTTAGTGAGGGTAAATGAGTTGGAGTGAGCATAGATCAGGACTCAGCAATCAACAGCAGTGGCAAAAGCGATGTCACCACCATCAGAACACATGGATAGTTTTTAAATCAGACACACGAATACAAACACATTTTACCTGCACACCTGCTAAATGCAAAGCCTTTTTCAGAGGTACAGACCAGTAACATAAGGAACAACAGAGCTCAAATCTCCATTTGGGGTCCTCACATAGTTTTTCATCCTGGCTTTGCTATCGGCCACTATAAATGACGACTAAGTACTCCAGGCAAGTCATTTTGACTCTCTGCTCTTCAGTTTCCAGATCTGTAAAATCTGATAAAGCTATCTATAACCTAAGAATGTCCTGAGGATCAAGGAGCCAAAGCAGCCTCAAGGAGCGGGCACAGTGCCCAGGCTACAGTCAAGCTTGATACTTCCTACCTCCCCCACATCTCCACAGAAGGTCTGATTAAACCCACATCCCACGTTTCTGAAGTTCAGGTTGAGCGGAAACACGGAAAAGGACCAAATATCGGCATTTTAATATGTTTCTACATAGTGTGCTCAATAAATGATTTACTCAAGGTGGCATGCTTGATGAGAGATGGTTCTGAAAGTTACGCCACTTTCATTAGAGCTAAGGTGCTCGGAGGGGCCTACTCGGCAGAGAAGAAAGGCCTATCTAACCCTGCAATACACGTGAAACTAACGTTATGTACAAGTTTCTAATTCGCCACAGCATAATAATGAGGGACAGGCTATTCCTGGGAACTTTTCCATTTAAAAAATTATTTGTTGAGCATCATGTATGCAGCAGAGTAGGGAGCATAGAGGAAATCTGAGGTAAAGAATAATGTTTAGGGTATAGAATTACACCAATTAAAAAGCATGGCTGGATTCAAACAGTGCCATTGCTAATCAAAACTCCACAAGGCAGGTGAACATCAGACAGATCATGAAAGGTTAGATGTATTCGATATCACAGGAGACTTGCTATGTGAAGAGAGCAAAGAAGCGTTTCATCAAACACGCTCATTCACAAAACCATGCATTAGTTAAAAACATCGTTGTACTGGAAAGGAAAAAAAAAAAGTTCAAGGAAGTCATTACCATATCATACTACCAAAATATGGTAAGAATGCATTATTGGGTAAATCTGTGTAACCGGTTCCTGCGATACGTTCCACTAAGGCCTTGAGGATTAGATCACATGAGCCAGACTCTGAATGCACGTCCATCCAAACACGAAAAGTCTTCTCAAAACCCACAGTCCTAGTAAATAAATAACACATGCCCCATAAAACTGGTGAAATATTTAACAGTATCAAATATTTACAATGATGGGCTAGCATACCTATTCTGCCTCCTTTTTCCTCTCGATTTGTCATTGTTTAAAAACAAAAACTTAAGAACAGCGTAATGGACAGAAACTGGGTCTTTCAATAGATTTACAATAGAACAGTTTGTTTTAATCCTCTTATCGGCCTCTCCTTCCAATTATGCAATCATTCCACAGCAAAAAGATCCAGGGCTCTTTCCTTGACTCGGGGGACACTGAGGAGCGTATAAACAGGTAGGCTGGGAGCAGGCAACATTTCCTTGAAACTAAAGTGCCTCGGGGCATCCGTCCTAAGTCGGAGCAGAGTGCTCCAGCCAGCCACGACGGATCGATGTTTTCATCTCCAACAATTGGCAACTCTTCCAGGGCTGCAGCGTTCACCCGGGACCATCCCTTCCCCAGCTTCGAAGCGGCTTCTCCGTGGGCGGCGGGGGCGAGCGACCCGGCGTCCTCCCACTCCCGGTGTCCCGACTCCCGAAGTCCAGCCGGGCCGACCGCGGGGGAGAGACCGGGCACCGGCTCTCGGGCCGGCGACCCCCGCAACATCCCTGGCCAACCGCGCCGCCCGCGACTTGAGCAACTCCGTGCCCCAGGCCGCGCGGGCCGCCAGCTGAGCGTCGGGGCCGCGGAGTTAATGAGTAACGCGCCGAGCCGGAGCCGCCGCCGCCGCCGCCCTCCCGGTCCCCGGGGCTCCGCGGTCGGCGGGCGGCGTCCGCGCTCTCCCCGCCGCCTCCAGCCCCTGCCCGGCCGCGCTCCGGGCCGGCTGGACGAGGGCGCGAGCCGAGGCGCCGAGGGGGGCGGTGCTCCCGCCGCCGGCCTCTCCCTCCCGCCGCCGCGCTCAC